CTCCAGAAAGCAGGGAGTTTTGCCTGGTTCACTGCTGTACTTTCATCTTCCATACTTCGGTATATTTCTCAATATATATTTATTTCTATTTATTGCCTGGTTTACGGGAGGAGCCATTAGCATTCCTGAGGTGCTGCTTTGGCTCTGGCACTAACGTGCGGAGTGACTCTGGCAGTGACTTCCCTGGGACGCTTGCCTGTATGTAGCACAAGAGGACCAGCACCAAGGGCCTTGTCTTCTCGTGCCAGCTGGGTGCTGCAAAAGCTAGACACCTGTTCATTCATTTACTGCTCTTGTATTGCTTAAGAATGGCGCCTATTACGGGCCAAGATGGCAAGGGCATGATCTGTGATGTGCCACACCCAGCCTCTGTCAAGTCAGCCAGGGCCAGAGGTCACTGCCCATTTTGTCCCCAACTCATCTTGCTGGAGCCTGCCCCTCCTCCCTCTGTCCAGCCCTGACCCCAGGAGGAGGGGGTCTGGACCGAGCCTGCAGATGGAAAATGTGATTAATAATCAAGAAAACATCCAGAGGAAGAGACCAGGAAAACAACTCGGGAAAGGCTCCTCGCCCAGGGGAGGGGGGCCATGTCCTGGGCCTTGGGACAGCTCCGGCCACTCTCCCGCCGCCCTTTCTGGGAAGCTGCCACCGGACTGGGTAATTTTAGCCAAAAGGGGGGAAAACACTCTAATTATTTATTTAAAAAGATGTCCCCCAGTGTAAACTATGCCTCCCCTAAGGGTTTTCCCCTACCCTGGTACTCCCCCCTAGGGGTCCTCCTGCACGGTCAGGCTGATGGGAGGAGGGGGCTGGAGATACTGGACTATGGGCAGAGGAGGAATTTCAACATGAAATATTTTGTTTATTAACAAAGAACATAGGGGGAAATTCCCTTTCTGCCGGGTCTGGGCAGCCCAAGCAGACACTCAAAAGCTATTGTGAAAAATGAGGTCTACACTGAAGACTGGGGTGCAGTTACATGGGAAGAGGGTGACAAGAGGCCTTCTCTCCCCTCCTCTCAGATCCCTGACTTCCAGGGACTTCCTGAGCCTCAATCCTTCCTTCTTCCAGGGATCTGACTCCTGGTACCTCAGGTTGCCCTCAGAATTCCTTCTCAGCAAAACAGGAGGAACTGGAATTGGACTGGAGCTAGAACTTCCCAGGAGGAGGAAGAAAGGCTTCAAAGAGGAGGGCAGGCCTTGGGCCCATCGGAATAACTTAGGCCTCTGATGCACATGCCGGAATTGGTAGGCAGGTGGGCAGCGGTCTGACGGGTCTGGACCAGTAGTGCAAGCTCCTCTATCCGAGTGGACTTTGAAGGCCTTTGTACAAAGGAGATCACTCCAGGGAGCGGGGGCCACGTTCAGCTTAAACATTGTACCTAGCTTTGGCCTTTATGGCTTCAGCCTTCCCCTACTGTCTACTTTTAGGGATTCTTTGCCCTTTTCTGGTGCCAGAGGTTGGAAGGATCAGGGCCATCGATGAGATTTTCCAGGGGAAGTCTGCAGAATGGGGGTGTTGTGAGCGGACCCCAGGTGCTGCCCCAGGATGGTGTTGGGAGTTGTCTCAGGATGGAGGGGGTAAGTCGTCCCTGGGGAGCTGGGGGGGGGGAGAGGGGAGGGCTCTGGGCCCCCCTCCCTGGCTCGGCCCGGGGCTGGGTCGGGATCGGGTTTCTCGGCGCCTGGAGCCTCCGCGAGGCCGAGCTGTTCCCGGGCCCCGGCCAAGCCGCCCCGGGCGCTGGCACTGCGCGCGAGGAAGCAGGGGGGGCAGGGGGGAGCGAGGGGGGCTGTGAGGGCGTTTACGTAACTGCCTCCCCGAGCCCGCCCCGACCCGCCGAAGCCCAGCGTGATTCAGATCGTGTGTGCCTGTGTGACACAGCGAGCGTGGCTGTGTGTGTAACCGAGTGTGTGCGCAGGGTGTGTGTCATTCAGGGATTCGGCCTCACCCTTTAACTTCCAGTTCAAACCGGGACTCGAGTCCCAGCGCGCCATAGCGAGGCTGAGGCACACACCTTGCTCTCGGAGGCTGCGTGTGTGACTTTGTGTGACCTTGTGTTTGGCACTTCCAGGGTGGAGAACCTTGGTGTCAGTGTGACTGGGGAGCCAGGGATGTGCTCCGTGATGCAGCCTTCTGACGGTGTAGCACATAGGACGTGGGTGCCATTTCCCGGCACCCACCATAAAAGGGGGCTCATCTTAGAGTTGGCACGCGGACTCCCCTTCCGTGGAGTCGGACCTAGGAAGGGGCTCTGCCGCCCCAAGGCTTGAGCTGCACGGCTGGCTCCTGGGGTGGTGTGTGGCCTGTCTAGGTCACCTGCTAGGGCCGGGGGTGAAGTCAGAAGTCCCAGGCACACAGCTTCTTTACATGGTGGCCATCAAACTCCAAGAACCCAAAGTCAGTGAAAACTTCTCCCAGTCTGAGTCCTCTTAGAAGCTGACCGATCTGGGAGCCCCAGTATTTGCGGGGTATAAGGGTCTGGCCTGAGGCCGTGGCTTCCTGCAGACCCTCCTGAGAGAGAGGCGGCTGCTGAACCGGGGAAGCAGGCGAGGCGCTGCGCTGGGCCGCGCTGCGGAGAGAGGCCTCCGCTGAGTGGGGTCTGGCTTACGGGTAGGGGCGCCCGGATAGCAGAAGGGCGCCGGCGCCGGCGTGAGAAGGCTGGGGACAAGAGGGTCGAAGAAAGCTGGAGTGCTGGTGTGGCCAGACCCGGGGGTTTTGAAGTCCCGCCGGGGAGCCTAGTTCTGCTCCCCGGGCGTGAGGACACCGGAGAAAGTTCAACAGCGAGGCTTGGGCAGCTGCGCGGCGAGGAGGCAGGCGGGGCCCCGGAGGTGGCAGGAGCAGAGACCCCCCGGCGGGGTCGGAGGTCGATCGCTTCCGAGCCAAGCGGCCGCGGCTCGCGCGGAGCAGCACCGGGGTTGCTGGGTAGGCGACCCGGGCCTCGGCGCAGAGCGGGAGCCCCGCGGGGGAGCGCGCCCCGC